GCTGGAGAAATAGACCATCCATGATACCAAACAAGCTAGATGTAGTTTAAAAAAGACATCCTTGGTATGCTCGGCAAAACAACAACAAAACCTTTATTAAAAGGTCTGAATTTGGGTGCTATGCAGATGCAATTGATATACCTGTGTGTGTGTATGGCTGTTACCATCAAAATGATGGGTGTTACCATCCAAGGGGAAAATCTTCCTATTACTCAGTAGCTCATGAGTGAATTGCCAGAAAAATAATAACTTGCTTTATGGAAGATACCGTATAAAATGGAGTCATACAGTAATATTTGAGGGCTGTCTTGGCTTGGCTCTGGATATTTGACAAAGCAGTGCTGCCTGGAGAAAGAGGATTCTGGATGCCAACAGGGCCATGGAATGGGGAGAGAAAATGGCGCTGCCTGGTGTTTTTAGCCCTGTGCCCTTCCCTCCCATGCTTGTCCAAAGCCCAGGACACCCCAGATCTCTTGTCAGGGCTTTTGCCCTGATCACTCATCCAATGGGCCTGTATGTCCATGATGTTCTTTAATGCATGGTGGGTTAGACTGCCCATCTGTGCCTTGGCTTGTCCTGCACACAAATAGCTTTGAGGTCTGAGAGACTCTTAAAAGAAACAGGAGGAGAGGACAAGTCCCTTCTTCATGTATCCTTTGTGATACATGAGAAAAACTAGCAGATGTCCTTCTGTCTTTGTAAAATCAGAAACACCGGGGGTATGAAGTCTGCTCTTTGCTGTATTTCCCAAGAGAATTGTCTCATCTCTCAAAGGAGCAGCCAAAGTGTGCAGAGACAGCTCTTGTTCTTGTCTCTGGGATTTAGGGAAGGGGTGAGAAAAACATACAAAACACCTGATAGAGGCTATGTACATACCACTCAGTTTTCAGTAGGAATAGCTGAAATCCTTTTTCTCTGCCCCTTTTTCCTTCTAAGAAAAATAGGGTAGGTAAAAAATACATTGAATCTCTGGGGAGAAATTGGCAGGTTTGAAAAAGGCTTGAGAACATCCTTGGCACCCTTTTATGCAGCACGAAGTAAAACAACTGGAAAATTGCTTTTCCCTCCTAGGCTGCCTTTGCAGAGCTTTAAAGTCGGGAAAACCACTTAACTGTTGCAGGCTGCACTGTTTTACTGCTGCCCTCCCTCCTGCCACCGCTTGTGTGATGTCTAGTCCCCTGACCCATCATGGTGGCACTCCTATACTGGTGGAGGAGGTGAGCATTGGGATGGCTGGCTTTTCCTGTTGTCCCTTCCCTGGCTGTGCAAACTGATTGCTGGGCTTTCCTGGTTTTTGGCACGCTGCAGCAACACGCCCAGCCTGCTGGTGCCTGTCTTCTTTGCCTGTGGCTGACTTAAGTGGCAGCTTCCTGAGGGTGAAGAGGGATGGAGATGGCTGGAGTGGAGGATACCCAGGCAGAGGTCTCTGCTGGCAACACCATCCTGCGTTCTTGACAAGGGCAAGAGGGAAAACAGTGTCTTTTGCAAAGCACTTGAGCTTTAGACAAGTGGAAAAACATCATAAAATCAGTATATAGGGAAACTGCTGATGCTCTGGGTCCAAGAGCTCAATGTAACATCAAACAACTTGTCATGAGCATCACCCTCCACTTCTACTGACAGCCACTTTCCAAACTCTCACTCTGGAGCATCTTCTACTTGTCTGTAATTCATTTGATCATTTCCAGAGCTTTCACTGTAATGGCCTGTTTTATAGTGCCACCTTGGATATAGGATATTAAATCTTTGCCCCCAGCCATCAATCTTTTGAAGAGAGAGACCTTTCCACTGTGTGGCCATATTGAGTCTTCCTTCCTCTTTTAGGAAAGGGAAAATTAAGGCTCAGTGTGGATTTTTGAGGTTCATTATCTACTACAGAGCATCTCCTTATTGTCTGGGAGGAGGTGTGGATCCTGGCTGACATGTGCTGCTGTCTGAGATGTCTTGGGTCTGATTTCAGCTTGATTACTTACCTGAGAGGTGGCACAGGACAAATCAATCCTTGTCTTGAATCTCCTATTTGTAGGAAACTTATATTTTAATAAGTAAAAAATAAATATTTATTTTAATGTTGCCTCTATTGTCTAGTACAGTGACAGTGCCATCATTTGTGAGACTTGAGGAGGTATCATTGCTAACAGTTTACAAAGTCCCAATTCTTAAAGGGAAAATCCTCCACTGTAAGGTGAGGTGATAACACAGAGGACTTGAGAATTATTCCTGTCTCTTGCTCACTGGTTGGTGCAGCAGTTCTTATTTTCCCAGGATGTACTTTGCTTTAGGGAGTCTTGGTGCCTCTGTACCACATATACACCGTGAATGAGCTCAGCTTTGGGCTCATCCTTAAAATGCTTTGTACTTTGCTCTGTAAACTGTTTTTCTCCACGCTGTTGGTATTTCATTTCCACCTCTCTCTGAGCTCTGCCTAAGTCCTAGCTGGGTGATGGGCCAGATTCTCTCTAGGTGAGATAACTGGAGTCACTTTGCTTCTTTCTGTCTCTTCTTTGCCCCCTTTTGATCTTGAAGAAGGTTTTAGCTCTAATGCCTGATTTTCCTTCTTGTCTTGGTCTATTAAAACTTCTTAATATTATCCCAGTCTTGTTTCTTTTCTTTACTGGCCTTTTTGATTGGTACAGCTGCTTGCAAGCTTGATTTCCCTCTAACATGTTTTCTAGCTCTGTCACTCAGCTGCCCAGCTTCCTATACTGGTAATTTCGTGGAGTTGGTCAAATCATCCTAATTCACAAATTTTAGTCAGTCATTCCTGTCTAAATCCCAGTTTGGGCAGGTTTTGACAAGGAATTAGGCACATGAAAGCCATTGCAGTTCAAAACCATGAGTGCAGTGACCTCACAGATTTTTGCAAACACCAGATCTCCAGAATAGCTGAATGTCAGATTGAAGGTATCCTGACCTAAAAGGGAACAAGCAAAGTGAGAGACAAACATGAAAGCAGTGGAGGCCAGCACCAGAGAAGCAAGGAAGTCAATGTGTTTAAAGTAGAAGCTAAACACCCAGCATTAAACCCAAATGTAAGAGAAGAGTAAACAGTCTTTAGGGATGTTGTCAACAGAACATACACAAATATATTGGTGGTAGGAGTCATTGGTTGTTACTCATAGCTATCAGCCTGGAGAACATGACTACCTGCAGGACTGGCTTTTTCTACTGGGAAGTGAATGTTTGTCTTACAGTCTAGAGGCAGCCTTGCATGCAGGAGAAGCAGGCCCTTCTCTGGGACACTTTGTTGGGCCCTTCAAGTGATTGCTAATGGCCAAGCTGTATTTTGAACAGAGATTTATTATCACCTTCACAGTCAATTAAAATTCTAGGCACTGCTAAGGTAGAATTCAATTAAGGTTAATTGGAGCTTCTGAAAACTGAATTTCCAACCAGAAACAATGGTGGGGTTGCAGATCCTAGAGGGTTTCTATCACTTTTAAATAACTTTCAGTTCTGTTCTTGCTTGACACTGCTCTAATCTTCCCTCAAGCCCCATTCTTTCTCTATTATCAAGCAATTCAAATGCTCATTTTTTTTCTGTCATAATTTATCATTTTGACTTATTTGTTCTTTTTACGTCGTCTTCTAAAGGCGAGGGGGAAAAAAAAAAAACAAACCACCAAACCCTGCAGAAGCTTGGAAATGTTTTTGTATCAGTCCCAGTGGTCTGACATGAAAGATATATAGCCACTTCTAAGAATTTGACAACAATTCAGTAACAATTATCTAGACAGGTACAATAACAACTCGTTTTTCTTTTGGTGTTGAGAGGGATGATGAAACTTTAATGAATTGTCAATAAAGATTAAAAAAGAATAAAATAAACAAAGAGTAGAGAAAAACAGGTGCAAACGCAACGCCATTAAAATGCAACTCAGGTTTCCCACTCTACCCTAAATTTTATTTCCTTGGCATCAAGGACTATTGTGACAGTTCTTCGCACACTTGATTGAACAGGGAAAACACATGGGACTGTATCTTAGTCACAGAATGCAGAACATGTAGCTCTCCTCTCTCAGAGCACTCTCGCAGAGGGATGAATAATCCTTTCAGCAGTTCATTTTGCCAGAATTTGCAGCCCGTTGTTTACTGTGTGGGGACTAATAACAAAATGCCAAGCAGGAATTAAAAAAGCGAGAGAAGGAGCGATGTATGTAGAGAGAGAACAGCGACAGCTTGAAGGTCCAACTTCTCCCCCGCCATGTAGCGTGTGGTTGTCACTTGCCGACTGGAATATTTTTTTTTCCTAGGAGTTTTACTTTCCATGGTTTCAGAATTACAATAGAATTTCTCTCTGCACATGCCCTGTGTCTTGCTGTTTAAAGGAAACCAGAGCAACCTCTGACACAAGTGTGTTTTTAGTGTTTTCCTCTTTTCCTGAGAGATAAAGGGCACACGGCAATTATTGTGTAGAAGGTAAAGGGAAAAGTTTCTTCGATGAGAAATGATTTTGCAATTACACAATTGCCAGAGGAGAGGAACATGTAGGTGGATGCACTCTCATGCGTGATTACTAATGAATTCTCTGTATTCCTTGTGGAAAAGAGCCACAACTGTAAAATTAAATAGTTAATGCCTCTTTGATGAAAGGGTTTGCAGCCACTGATGTCCTTTATCAAAATACAGTAGGCTTTGAAGGAACAGGTAGAAGAGCAAGTCCAAGCTTCAAGCAAAGCAATTGGAGTGGAGAATCTCTACAGATATATTTTTTCTATGGGAATTTTTTTTTTAAATGTTTTCTAGTAACAGAAACCTTTTGCCTTGGAAAAGGATGAGTAGGATTTTACCGGGGACACGCAGCTGCTGAAGCTGTGGTCAGTGCCATATGGCAGATGGGCAGCAGATACCAGATTCTGTGCCACATTGGGGTGTGAGTCCCCATGAATATTTGTTCAAAACCAGCTTCTGTTGCATAACTGTTTGTGAGGGCTGAGGTTTCAGTGAGGTGTATATACAATATATATATATAGAAATAGATATATGTATATATAAAAGAGAAATCCTCTTAGTTCACCAGCAATTCAGTCATGACTTCTGGGCTGAAATATTTACTGTAAAATGTTGAAATGTGAATGGAAATCTGGGTTCTCTGCTGTGCTGTGTCAGGGTGCCTGCTGTCCAAAAATAGCACATGTTCCAAAAAATGCTCTGAGATCCTTAGGACATGCCATGTGAGAACCTTACAGAAACATCTTAATTACACACTAATGAACACCATAGTAGCAGACAGTCAAGGGAAAGACAGTATATCATACTCATGTGTATCCTAAATACAATTTGACAGCTGATTTTTGAGTACCTTTCTTCCATTAATGATTTTTATTTTGATTTTCAAAGTGTTTAATAGTTTAAATGTAGTTGTTTCTTATTTATGTTGTGTTTATATGATGGCATTTTTTTTCTGAGTTTGATTAGGTCATTCATTTCAGAGTTTGAAAATGGAAAGAAAATAGTTGTGAACACAACATCATCTTGTGTTCTTGACACCTTCTTTTCCTTTAATTGAACATTTACTTGCTCATTTAAAGCTCCTAGGTTTACTCGTACTCCCCACAATCTTAACATATTTAACGAACAAGAATGAAGGTATTTAATCACCGTGCAGCAATGTGTGGTGTTCCCGGCTCTGCTTCTGAAGGACGTTGGGGCTGTCAGTGTGTTAGGAAGAGGCTGTGGCATTTCGCAAAGCCAGAGCTGTGCCGCCTTTCTCCAAATGTTCCATGAGATGGCAGCAAAGGCTTTTGAAAAGGGCATCATGCGAGGATTTCTGTAACTGAAATTGTTTAACGCTTAGGGATCCTTGTAAGGGAACTTGATCATAAATCCCACACGCAAATAAGGGGTTCATAATGCATCCTGCAGAGTACATGCTATATTGTTCCCTGAAATGTAAGGTTTCATTTTCAGTAGAGAAGGCCCTTTTCTTTCCCTTGTTCTACTTCTTTTCTTTTTCATATCTAGTATATTCCCACTGTTTATGATTCTTTGAAAGAAATGGACAAGCAAAGCTTTTAGTGTGCACTCACCAAGATATCCATGTGACGGTTGCAAGGAAATGCTAGTATGAGGCATTGAATCATAGAATAGTTTGGGTTGGAAGGGACCTTAAATACTATCTCATTCCAACACCCCTGCCATGGGAAGGGACACCTCCTGCTAGACCAGGTCACACATTCAACCTGGCCTAAAACACTTTCATCAGGGATGGGGCATGCAGAACTTCTCTGGGCAAACTGTTCCCCACCATCCAGTAAAGAATTTCTTATAACATCTAATCTAAACCTGCCCGCTTTCATTTTAAAGCCATCCCCCCCGCTTGTCCTGTCACTAAATGCCCTTGTAAAAAGTCCCTCTTCAGCTCTCTTGTAGCCCCTTTAGATACTGGAAGGTGTTACTAGATCTCCCTGAAGCCTTCTCTGCTCCAGGCTGAGCAACTTCAACCCTCAGCCTGTTTTCATAGGAGAGGTGCTCCAGTGCTCTGGTCATCTTCATGGCCCACATCCTTATTATGTTGGGGGCCCCAGAGCTGGACACAGTAGTCCAGGTGGGCTTTCACAAGAGCAGTGTAGAGGGGTCACACTGCTTTTTATGCAGCCCAGGACACAACTGGCTTTCCAGGCTGCAAGAGCACATTCCTGGGTCGTGTTGAGCTTCTCATCCACCAGCATCCTTAAGTTCTTCTCTCCAGGGCTAATTCTCTGCCCAGCCTGTCCTTGTGCTTGGGATTGCCCCACCCCAGTGCAGGACCTTGCACTTGGCCTTGTTGAACTTCACGAAGTTTGCACCTCTCAAGTGTGTCCAGGTCCCTCTGGATGGCATCCCATCTGTCCAGCGTGTTGACAACACCAAACAGCTTAGTGTCATTAGCAAATTTGCTGAGGATACATGGAATCTTATGTCTCTGAAAAAGATGTAAAACAGTGCCAGTATAGGGCACTGTTCTTTGCCAAAAAATAAGGATTGTCTCTGTCAAAAACGTATTTATGCTGCTCCACAGAGAAAGAGTGGCCAAATTCAGAAAAACACTTTTGCAGAGATCTGTTTATTTGTGGGAAAATAGTTAAAGGGGAAATAGAAACTTGATTTTGCCTTTTTTTGTCATCAGCAATAGCTATCAGGTAGGAATTTGGATATAAAAAAACTTGTGGGAAGAGAAACAAAACTTCTTTTCAACCATGTGGTTATATTATATGCTCTCTTGATAATAATGTGATATGGAAAGAATTACTGATATTCATGAAGGTGAAGGAAAACAGACATGCCTGCCACCCACCCACACTTCATCCTGTTCTTATCACAGGTATTACTTTTAGCACATTCTTCTTGGCAACAGTAATGAAAAAATAGGTGAAAAGCCATTAGCAACAACTCCTCCTTTTCATCTTGCAGGGGAATGGTGCTAAAGACAATATAATACATGATTTGCTTGAAAACAGCCTTTCTAAAAGCACTGGTTATATTTTTGGAGCTACAGTGCAGGAGGCAATTTGGGATTCTTCAAGCTAGTTCTGTGACATCCTGTTCATGAAATTGGAGAGGGAGTATGTTGCAAAGGCAGTTGCCATTTAATTCATATTGATGGACAACTGGGATGCCAATCTAAACCTGTCTTCTTTGTTTTAAAGCCATTCCCTCCTTGTCCTCTCACTATATGCCCTTGTAAAAAGTCCCCTTGAAAAGTCTTAAAATACAAGCTCTTCAAAATTTGAATATATTTAATGGCAGGAATTTTACAAGTAATTTAATAGAAATTATTAAGTAATTATTGGAGGCTTTTTTTTTCTTTTTTTTTCTGCTAGCAGTGTGTAAGCTCACTGTGGGAGTCTGAGTCCAGCAAGTTATGACTGAGGCTGCTCAGACCACAGTTTGGGACCAGCATCAGCAGATGAAATCCCTGCTTCTGTTTTGCATCTTCTGCTGTGTGGCAGAGCTGCTTTTTGCAGCTGCACAGTGAACTGGATTCAGGAAGATAGAAAACTTCTTGGTTGCTTTTTTTATTCCCTCTGGGTTTTTCAGCTGAACATGAACTCAGCTCCACTTCATCCTAGACTTGTGGCAAATATAAATGCCACACTTGGGTGTATCATCTGGAGGGGAAGGGAAGATTTCTGTTGGTTTAAATATTGCAACTTCAGAGTGTCTAAGGTCAGAGAGATGTCAATAAATTTCCTAGTTCCTAGGGACTCTATCTTTCAGTCTGTCCAGTGTTCTGTTCTCTCTTCTTAAATGTTTGTATGTATTTGCTTGACATCTCCTTAATCCCAAGGATCCAGCTCCCTGAACTGTGCAGAACCAAGACTTGCACCTCTGGGTACAGGCTCATAGGATGTCCTCAGGCAAAGCTAAAGCATACAGCTGTGGCACAGAGATATGCACAAGAAACAACATAATTATTTACACTGTAAATGCTCTGTTCCCTTTGTGTTATTTCCAATATTCCCAACATACTTTGCTGGTTTCCTTTGTAATACAAAAAATAGCATGGCAGTTATAGCAAACTCCTTCCATGAATGGCACAGAGTTTCACTGAAGTATTTCTTTTCTTGCCTTCGTCTTAAACCTAAAACCAGGCAAACAATGTTTCTATGACACAGTAAGAGAGGTGGTATGAGAGAATTTGTCTCCAGAGACTGCAGTGCATTCTCAGCTCTATCAACCAGAGGCATTTTGTCCTCTGTGAAAACTGTTTTTCATATCCTCTCCTGTCCATTCCTTGGCTTTTATATTGTTGTAGGGCCTGATTTTGCAGACAGCCGTGTGGGAGATGGATTAACTCATGGGCAGACTCAGATTTGAGCTTGGAGTGGAAATTATGCACCTAATAAGACATGCATCTACAGCTGATGTATCGAGTCTCTCCTCATTCTCCCTCCCAGCTGCTTTATGTCTTCATAAACTGACCAAGTGAGGTAAACCTTCCCACTTGTACATTTCTTACACAAACCTGTAATGACACCTGTGTTTTTTCCTCTAAAGGTTTGCATTGACTGGGATGGAAACCATCTTACAGCTGAAGCAATCTGTATTTTGACCATTTTCCCTTCATGTACTTTCCAGTTAAAATACCATCAAAAGTACAGCTGGATAGTCTTTTATAGAAAGAGTAATTGCTATTCTTTTCTACTTTCCAGCTGTTTCTGCATGTGTTACCTCAGATCCACCTCTCCTCAGTCTTGGACAATGCTCTTGTCATTTATGGATGCCCTTTGTCAGCTGCTCAGTCTGCAGAGTTTCTCCTCCCTCGAGAAATGTTCAGAAACGTTTGATGGTATGATATAGAGAAGGTGCTGTGATTCCTTCCTGCCGAGGGAAGGGAACGGGAACAGTAATGGGACTCCCTAGATAGGGCAATTAAAAGCCAGCTGGGATAGGAAGAGGGGCCTTACAGTGACTTAGAGTGAGATAATGAGAAAGAAGCTTGAAGCCTGAGAGTTGTTCCTTTTACACCTAATTTCTTCTCTTGATGTTCATGTCATGTCTTACTTTTGTGATAGCCACTTGTGAAAACAGAGGCAAGAATAAAATGGCCAGGAACCTCTCTGTGCTAAGACTGGACATATGAGCCCCAAGACCAGTCTTCTGTCCTTTCCTCAAGGTTTTTGCCCCCAGAAGAGAGTGGAATGTCTTCTGAAAAGCAGAGTTAAGGCCATTCAACTGTTTCTCCAGGCTGTGTGCCACACTGTCATAACCATCCCGGGAACAGCAGCTCACGTCAGGCTTGCAGCCTTTATTCCTGTTTAATACGAAATAATGTACTGGAATATGTAGGCTTTGCCTTGGGCTGTACTGTTCTCCCATCCCACAGTTTCCTTTTGTATGTGTAACCATAGCTCTACTACCCAGAAAAACCATGTGCCCAGAGAAGCTGTGGGTGTCCCATCCCTGAAAGTGTTCAAGACCAGGTTGGATGGGGCTTTGAGCAACCTGGTCTAGTGGACTGTGTCCCTGCCTGTCGCAGGGAAGTTGGAATGATGAGGTTCTTTTGGTCCCTTCCAATCCAATCAGTAATGTGATTCCATGATTCTAAAGGTGAGGCTGGCATTTGGGAGCACCCTTACCAGCTCTCAGAAGAGTTTTGCCTCGTGCTTGTGGAACAGAGCATAGCTTGGGAGTCTGACTGGCAAGGAGGAGAATCAGTCTTTCGCCCTTTTGAAGGGAAATAGGGAACATTGACTTGCGTGATCATTTTAGGTGGATGATTAAATTTGGTCTCTTAGGTCTCTAGTTGAAAACTCAATTCAGATGAGTAGTTTTCTTTTCATACACTGCTTAACAATCTTGTGTTCTGCCACCGCTAATGTTCCTGATGTTGATTGTCTTTTCATTTTAGCAAAGAGCAGAAATGCCCAGACTCTTCTCCGTATTTTCCTTGGCTTTGGGCTCTCAAAACCTAGAGAGAAGACTGCTTTTTCTTTAAGGATAAATATTCTACCCTGAGATAGACTGACAGTCTACTGCTAAAGTCACATATTGCTGTTGCAATGGGTGAAAGAGATAGTCAAGACAGAAGGATCAAAACTTTTCCACTGACTTATGTTGTTTTCAAGATGCCCAGGTTTTCGACACATATTTTCTGGGGAGAACAAATTAGAGAATCCAACAAAACAATCAGGCATCAGCTTAGTACTGAAACAGCCTACATGAATAGTAGGACTGTAGGATAAACCCCTCTGTAAACATGTGTGAGGAGTAGGAAAGACAAGTATGAGAAAGGGAAGAAGGAGAGGAGTATTCTTTTCTGTGGTATGATTCCAGTGATTTACTTAGGCTAAGGAGTCCAAATATCAATATCAGAGCAAATACTTCTGAAATGAGGCAAAAGTGAATGTTGATGGAGGCAGCTGAACGCATTAGAGATAGTTTTGCCATGTGATGGTTCTACATAGACATGTGGTTGATACCTAGAGGAAAATCAAAGTGCAACATTAATGGGAAGCGCTATTATGCATGTTATTTACAGTGCTACACTGATTTCACAAGGATCACCAGACTGCTGCCTTAACTAATGTTAAATAAGTAGTTAGTGGAGAGTATATAGATTTACTGTGCGAGATCTTAAGTTTGTAAGAAGTCTGTTCTATCAAAGAAACATAGGAGTTCACTTAAGAAGGTTCCATTGTTCCATGCACAACTTCTTTCCCTTGGTTAATGAATGCAGGCACTCAGAAAAAATGCTTTTAGGTGACAGAATCAAAGAAGACTGCCTATAGCAAAAAGGGATCCAGAAGAGCAGCAAAAGCTGCTGAAGAAAAGAGTTTATAAAGGGCAGTTTGGATTGCATTACCCAAAGGAGTAGAATTAGGAAGGGAGCTTCTGATTGCTAAAGATACACTGCTGGATGGTTTTAGTGAAGCTAGAATACAGCTGAGTTTGGGTTTAACAGATAAAGCAGATATAGATAGTAAGATTAGAAAATAAGAGAAAGATAAATGTGTACTCTGTAAAGGAAAGACCTTTGCCCTTAGCAAAGCTTTCTTGTTCTGAAACCAATATCGTCTCCCAAGAAGGGAAGGGCTGTGCAGTATCTTTAGGCTGCCCAAGGGTTGGGATGAGGCAATCTGCATTGCCTTGCTAGAGTCACATTTATTGCCTGTAAATAGGCACATTTGAAAAGTATATTTGTGCAGCAAGCAAAGGTGTGATTGCAGTACAGGTGAGTATAACGTAGAATTAATTCTGCTAGCCATAACTCCTTTAATGAAACTGTGCAGAGGAGGCTTTAGTATGCACTTCACTGCTGGAGGATAAGCCCTGCAGCAACACTGTACACATGCTCCAGGTGCCAGGTTCTGCCACTGCATTTTCATTAGCATTCCTAGCCAATGATGTCCAGTACCTGTAGCAAGTAAGTTATAGAAGGAATGGGAAGCTACAAACTGTATTGCTATATCTCTAATGAAAGATGAAAACAATTTCCCTCTTCCAGCCTTGGAACTTAGATGAAAATAATCTATGTCTGAAAGAAAAATTGCACGAGTGAATAAAATGAATTGTGCGTTATAGTGAACAAGACACATTATAATAATACCTTGCACTAGATTCTTCTGATGACACCATTTAGTGGTGGTTGCATTTAGTATTTTGCCTGATGCATCACATGATATATCGCAATAATCCCATCTGCAATACGAGACTGTAGTCAGAAGGAGTGAAACCTAACGGATAACAACATACAAGAGTTACCTGAGTTTTTACCAATTTGTGTAGAATATATTGCAGCTGCAGTAAATACTCTGATCGGAGTATTTATGACTACTTGTTACAGAATGTGAGCTTACTGTAAGTACTGTTTGTAAGATTTGTAGGCAGTCAGCCAGCCTGTTTCTGTGTAAAGCTGGAGAACAGTCATCAAGGGAAAGCCTTGATTACTGCATTCTGTTACTGCATTAGCACCTAATGGAAACGAAGAGAAACCTGGTCGTATAGACTGACAACCCACTCTTATTTCCCAGGGAAATAACCAAGCCATTGCTGTAGGAACAAGCAATGAACCACAAACAAGCAAAGCAATACAATGATATGAGTGTACAGTGGAGCTTAAAATGCAAATCTGGCTTGCTCAGTACTAGCACACAGACTGTAACCACTGTCAGTCTAATTCCAGTCTACATTACCAGCCATTAGGATGATGGCTGTACATGACATTAGCCTGTTGAATTAGGAATACCTTTCCAACAGCCCTGGTCTCTACCTCCCCTTTGGTGCTGTTACTGTGCTTTTTCCACATCACTGTGGAGCTGATCAGCAGCCCTGTGCCACTGGTTGATGCTGGTGAATGACGGTGGAGGCAGCTCCTCACATCCCTTCACAGACACCATACAATTTACAACATTTGGGTAGAGTGAGGAGATTTGGTGATCAAATTTTCCAGGATTCCCTGAATCATATATAGGATTTTCAGCTCTGCCTTAAAGGTTCAGCTATCATAATGAAAATGATAATGCTTTTGATTTGGCGGTTTACTTGGTTATTTGAATGTAAGCAGAGAGACTATGACAGGAGGTCCTGCTTCTCTAAGCTGAGGGCAGAAGAATGTATTTGCTGCAGTTGTCAGGTTATGATTTCCATGTGTAATTTTCTTCTGGCTGCCATTTTACCATTTCTTCCCTAATTTTTGTCAATTTTTTATAAGAGCCAGTTGATTTACTCTACTTTCCCCCCTTTTTCTTTTTTTTTTTTTCCAGATGTGTAAATAAACTATAAGTTTTCTTCATTTACTTGTGGTGACTGTTTCCACCCAGCTCAGACTGTAACTAAGCCTGGTACTGAGGCTTACCAGGACAGCAAGAAAAAGTGAAGAGCTTAGAAACTGAAGATGGGGGAAACCAAAATCAATCCAGGATACTTGCTATTTTCTGATTGAACTTCTAAAAGAAACTCAACGAACAAGCCAAGAACCCACCATGATGAGCGAAATATACTCATGTGTAGCACTTCGTATATGTCATTAACTACTTGAATGGAAATCTATGCTTTCCTTACAGCAAAAGAACATCTGTCTGGGGCTCAGTGAGCTGTTGCCACAGTGCATGTAAAGAGGGGCATTCTTTTTCTCTGAGATTTTTTTTAAATAAATGGGTTTGGCTTAATGTATTAGGTAAGAAAGTAATATTTTGGGATTTGTAACCAGCTGCCAGTTGTATTTTTTTTTTTTTTTTTTTTACTGGGAGCACAGCACAAGTGTTTTCCTCTCTGCCAACCCGTAGGTGTTGCTGGCGGGGAATGACGGATGCTGCCATGGCTGGCTCTGAGGAAGGCTGTGCAATTCCAATCTCGAGACTGTCATGAGGAAGCACGATGAGTCCCCTGCCCTATTCTCATTACTATTTGCGACACTGGAATGAATCTGTCTCGTACCACGAGGTGTTCTTGTTGTTGTAATCCTTATTGTAGGCTTACAGAACAAGAAAGAAAAGCAAAAGGAAGACAAGGCCTGATTTCATGTGGGAACCTTTTGGAAAGCATGTCAGTGACACATTAATATAATTATTAAGGTAAAGAGACCTGGCTAAGGTGGAAGATTTCAAATGTAAATACCCTGATGAGGCTGAATGCTGAGGATCCTCTGGGGATATCAGGTATTTTTGCTTACTTGAGCAAAATCCAAAATAATGCTGTTGGTTTAACAATTAAATAGAATAAAGACCCTTATCTTCGTGTGTAGAAAAAGACCTTTTGGGTACAGGAGAGAAATACATGTCCTCTGAGAATTTTCAGCATGTGTCCCTCAGCCCAGTTCAGTTGCCTGTGTGGAATCAGTGATGAGAGTTTGAATTTATACATACAAGTACTCAGGGTGAAGTTCTGAGGACAGAAAAGGAAAGAGATGAGAAGTAAGTGCATGGAAATGGAAGGAAAATATTGGCACAGTGTCCTCTGAAGGAGCAACGCTGCATTTGCACAACTCTGATGGAAACTTCACCATATCACTTGGATACCACGTTTAGGAAGCAGCTTGTGTCAACCTTAGGTACAGATTGAGACACTGAAGCCAGATAAGACCACTTAGTTAGGTGGAGGATAATCCTTTTTCTTTTCCTATTTATGCTGGCCTGCAGCAAAGTCCCTCAATATGGAATTTGATTTTGATGGTGGCATTTTGAACCCTCTTTGTATGCTTTTTTTGCTTCAAGAAATAATAAAGTCTAGATAAAGTTGGAATAGCTGCCTGGTAATGAGATCATTATATATATAAGTACTGAATTGCTCTCAGGGGGTATAATGATTCCTCAGCCCAGGTAGGCAGCACAGAAGTATTTACTATGCACAAGCTGTCTTAGATCTACGTTTACAGTGCTTAAGCACATAAAGCCCTTCAGCATAAAGTTCAAGTAAGAGAATATGGATGAATGGGAATATGTTATTTACAGCTTATATTATGAGATGGAATGCACTGGGACTGGTTATTTACTTTTCCTGTGGAATTTTAAAGAATTTTGACAGAAAAGACAAAGAAGTAAGAGAGGAGATGATAAAGGAAGAAGAACATACCAGCGCTGTGTGACGGAAGCTTCCTTTTGACAGCCATCCCCTTTGCACAGCATCAACCACCTGTGGGAATTAACAGGTGGTAATGGCATCGCCTGGGATGGAGATGTAGTGAGAAACCTGGTCCCTTCTGCCTCCAAGAGGCAGAAATGCTCAGAGCTGTCCTTGTGCCTGGCCATGGGCTGGGGCACAGGCTGCCCCTTGTGCCATGGGACGTGCACACGGAACCTGGGGACAACCCTGTGTTGGGGATAGACAGGGAATCAAACTGGGTTTGATTTCCTGGTCTGCTACATGTTTCTGAAGTGATTTTTGTCTCTACCTTACAAATGCTAAAGAGAGAGACAGACTGATCCTGTGTGCATCCTGCTCCTCGAGTTTACACCTCTGAGATAAAACTATCAAAAGTGCTTCAGAGAGAGTGAGGGCAAGTGCATTAAAGATTATGAGGTGTTGAGATGTGAAGATGAGGGGGATGAGTAAATGCTGCTAACAGGTTCATTGCCTTTTACGTCTATACAGACAGGATAGGGCCGATAAAAGTAACAGGCAGCCCTGGGCTTGTTACCATGGTTATATGCTCTGTCTCCACTGAAATCACCTGAGTTACAGCTACTATGTAAGTAATAGGGAGTCCTGATGCTGTTCATAATAATGAGAGAAAACACGCCCTATCAAAAAATATGTCAACTGCATGCAGAAAAGCTGCAGGAGAGGCATATTCTGTGGACATGCTTTGAGTGAGCTTATGTAGGTCCATATGCTGAAGATTACATCCAAGTGTACCTTTGAGTTTCAAAATTTCTAATTATTTTGCTGTGCCAATAGACAAATTTGAGATGTAGTGTTTGATCTCTGTCGCACAGGCTCTGTAGGATGTCCTCTGTGTATTTTCCCTGACGTCTAGGCTTATTATATTTTTACCCTGATTTGATAAAACAAGCTGTCTTTATTAGAACAGAACCATTCCTGGAGAAAATGGATAAAGTATGCATGTAAGTTGCTTTATTTTTTGTAAGCCTTGTCATAGTAGTAAAACAGATGTGTGCCTGGAATAGCAAACTAGCAGAAGTACTTGGATGACTGAAGGTGGGAAGGGGAAGACATCTTGAGCTGCCGAACTCCTACAGCCAGCCCTAGGAACTACGATCCTGCTGTCACTGTCAATATAAAACTCTTTAGGCTGGCATTTAATGTGCCTTAAGATGAAAAGCTATATTTAAATTAATAATTCTAATTTTTTTTAATGTGTGAAGTAAGTGGATTTTAGGATTCTCATACACCTGCCTGGCACTATGGATGACAAATGGATTTGTTTCAGCAAACTCAAAGGATTCATAAGACTTGCTGCTCCTCAAAGAGAGCTTCTGTCAGTCCAAAGAAAGAAATACTACACACACACAAAAAAGAATTGTAGGGACCTGTTTCAGGGGATATGAAACAGGTCCAGTCACCCTGCGCTGCATGAATGGAGGGACTGAAAAACATTCCGGAAGCCTTTTTAATCCCAGAGAAGTGAAAAAGGCCATGGCTTTTTCTTAACAGAACATGAAGGTTTTTATTTATTCTTTATTCCTTTTTAGGGTCTCTTGGACCTCCTCAATGGGCCTGCTTCAAAGTCTGAAAAATGAACTCACCCCTTCTGGCAAAGTCTGGCCTGGGCAGCAACAAATCTGCTTCTCTGCTTCAGTCTCAATGCCTAAAGCTCTGTCAAAATAAAAACCCACACCCATGGGATGACAAAAGGTTATGAAAGCTTTCTGCTTTTCTTCCGTCTAACCTGGAAAGCTTTTCAGTGTTAATTAGGCTACTGTAAGGATTAATCATTTTGTAAATTGATTGGCACCTGGAAAAGTGGCATCCAAGATGACCGTGGCCTGTACCCACTGTGCCAAGCCAGTACACCCTAGATCTTTTTCTCAGCTGCCATCCCGATGTTGACCCATCTGGAGTAGGAGAGAACTGCCCTGGCTCTGAAGAATGAATGCATCCCATTCTGCTTGTGCACCACTGCCCAAGTCTTGGTTTTGGAAAGCAAGAAACTCTGCATTGTGCTGTCAGCATTTTCTTCTTCTTGCAGCATTATATAAACTTCATAGGCAATTTTCTAAAAAAAAAATTAGGGCTGCTTACTTTGCTACTCCCTTAACAGCCCTTCCCTTTGGTTCTCCTTTCTCTTCGAGAGAGGCCACAGAAAAGCTGCAGTGGTGCCTGCTTGGTTTTTGTTTGTATGTTTATTTGCCTGACATTATCCCAAAATTAATTGTAAGGGAGGTAAATGGTGTGAGGGGAGTTCACTGGGGTTAAATGGTCAAGAGATTTTGGAGTCATGTATTTAACCTGGTGGAGAAACTGAGTTCTCAACATGCAAACAACTGCTTTCCAAGTAAATTAGACACTACTACCTGACCTGTGCTCATTACAGAGTTAAAACGTAGCCTATCATCATTACAGCACTTTTGGGTCCTCTCTCCAGCCACAGTGTTTTAATGAGTCTATTTTGCTATATAATTTATTATCCTCAGGGCTTCTCAAAAGGAATCCATTTCGCTGAGAGAGGGTCATGAGACCTGAAAGAGTTTTGTGCTATTGCTCTCCTTGTTGGTCAATAACTTTTGAACTGGTGACCATCCAGTAATTGGCAAGAAAATGTCTCCCTTTAAACTGTGAGCTAAAAATAGATCAAACTCTCCAGAATCTAAACCTTGAAGGACATATAGAGGAAAAGTGCGTTTTAAATGGAGATATTTATTATTCCACACTTTAAAGTTACTAGGCCTTGCTTCTTTCCTCTCTGCTTGCTTTATGGAATTGCCAACCAGATTATAAAAGAGAGAAATAGTTAAAAAAAAAAAAAGAAATGAAATATAAAAAAATTATTAATCATGGAGAGATTGATATATAAATATACTTGCAGGTACTTTCAGGAAGTCCAGTAGGATCTTTAAGGCTGTCCTGACTGAAATAAGATTTTAAAGCCAATATGACTTACAATAGCTATAAAAATAATAGAGGAGAAATGTCACTTTTATGAATCCAAGATGGAGGAAGGCTCTTTCCATTGGCATTGCAATCCTACAGGATAGGGTGAGAGAGCAGAAAATACTGAAACACAGAATAAAAGTATGGTTTTTTAGGGTAGCAAGTAAAAATGTCTAGAGCCCGGGTGCTAAATTTCCTTTAAAATCCCTGCTCTTACTGAGGTGGAAACAGATGTGTGACAGGAGTGGATAACTCCCTTCTGCAGGAACCTCCAGTCTTGAGACACTCCAGGAGTCCCTGGGTTTCTTCAGGCATCTGCTTTGATACACAGACACCTGTCTTTGTAAAGAAGGTACTTTGAAGAATTAACATATGCCATTAATGTCCTGGTTATTAATGTTTGTAAAGTACTTTGTATACTCTGGGTTACGTTCAACAGTTTAATCATTTAACCAAAACCAGAGCCTGTGCATCCCTACAGTAATCCAAAGTACTGTGTTCTTTTTATGACCTGTTATCACAATATACAATATCACAACATTCATTATATATTAATTCCAAATTGCTCACCTTTTGTCATAAAAAGGCAAGAAATAGAGAAACACAATATTGCCACACACCCCTATGTAACCACAACTTTATTTTAGGAATGAAGATATGCAAGTATGTGAATAGACATTAAAGGATACTTAGCTATTCAACTGATTTAATTGGCCAAACCTCTTAAACGTTGCAGCAGGAAGAACATCTCTGAACAGAGCAACAAAAGTAATAATGAGCTACATTAGTTAAATTGAGTATCATAAACAAGGTCATGATCTACTTTAGTAATGAAGGCATACTATATGTTTTAAAAAGATTTTTTTCCTAGCCTCCTGGGGCTGTTGGTATGTCCCTATGTAATATTCAACCCATTACTACTACACTATGCCTGGCATTCCTTGATGTGGCAAGTTAAACATCATAGCTTCTCTCCTATATGCATTAAGAGCAGCTGAAAGCAAGAAAGTAAGTAGTGTAAGCAGCTCAAAATGAGGTATTCTAGCTTTCCAGCAGCCAGAGGAGGCCAGCTGTTCACACACCTTTTCAAAGCAGAGAGGACTTGACTCCTCAGCAGCAATTATGCACCAACTGTATTTTTCAGCAATGAAAGGTCATTTTTCCTCTCAGGAGAAAAAACATGAGAAGTGGGGGGTTCATTCTTAAGGAAAGTGAATGGGATGGGTATAACCTTTAAACATGACTTTATGCCTTGGACCACAGACCAGCAGAAGGAGGCAGTCCCTATAGGGGATTGATTCAAATATACTAGGTGCCTTTCTTCTCCAGAGAGTAGACGTGTGAGAAACATGAGAGGACTCAGGACTAAACACTCCTTTCCTTACTGGCAACAGAAGTTAGTGTGAGACAGCAATGAACTACTATGCCTAAATGCCCTTACTACAAAGTAATAGGGGCATCCCTGATGGCAAAATTACTCCTTCATGTGGTATAAACCCATCAGTCTTGGGTAGCTCAGATGCTGGAAACAGGTTATCTGCAGCAATATGGAGTCCTGAGATGGCTAATTTATTCTGTGCTGCTGTCTTTCAGTCGAATAATTTTTGACAAGTTAGATGGTTTCATTTGCTGATTCAGCCTCCTAGCAGGGCTTTCAAATTGTACTAGGTTGTGGCAGGTACAGTTGTAGTTCACTTGTGTGTTGGTAAGATGTTCTCCAAACATACAGGAGCAATGGAGTTTGTTCACACAGTCGTGTGTAAAACAGTGTGGCCAAACTGAATTAATTCTGCCTTCATCAGGTGGCATTAGCTGTGTCACCAGCTCTATCTTTTCTGCAAGTGATGGAGGTATGAAACCTTTGGCACATAAATTTGG